GCCGAGGCATATAAAAAAAACTGAACTGGTGTCAAGCTTAACAAGGTCTGTTGTCTCGTTGATTGTTTCAAGCCAATGGGTGTAGTAATGATGTCTAAAATGCCTGATGACGATGATAACTATGTGCTGTTATTGATTTAGTTTTTAAAAAAAATATACTTAGCATTTCATTCTGAATTTTTTTCAGTGGATCATATGGGTCAAATTGGAGTGCAGCACAGGGTCGTGTACTTTGGATGTTCTGGCCTAACCTCACCAGAAAATGTAACTTTTCGCAGTTGACACTCATCTGATATTGGACTGTGCAGTGGACGGTCAGCTCACCAGCTGTAAACCGAAAGATCGCCAACCAAGAAATTGCCTTGTTCTATTTTGTGTATTTCTCTAATTGTGAAAAGGATATTTCTTGCCGCGCTGTATTTTTATTCACATACTAATTTACGTGTGACATGTTTATTAAGGCAACTATCGAGGTGAGTAACAGCCGTTAAGTTTAGGCATCAGGCACCCTTATCGTGGTGTTGTTATGTCATTGTCATCTAGACGTTACAAAGCATGAACACTTGAGTAACTAAAATTCTTCGTGTCTGGCTGTTAGTAATGGTACTTCAGGAAGCATTGCAGTGACCCATCAGGCACCATGCTGTCCATATGTTGGTAGGTCACTGACTCGCTATCCATTTCTCAGCTGGTTTCATCGATACCAAGTACGGTAAATTTCTTGATCAATGGAAGTGTCACTTAATGAAAAAATGTTACAGTCGAATTGTCAAAATATAATGGCACACTTTTGGTAAATTAAAATTAATTGACTAGTAAAGAAAACAATTTAATGGGCAAAACAAGTTGCAAAATTAATCGACTCTCACTGAGGCAGAGAAACTTTTGACTGGGTTCCAAGAAAAGAAAAATTCCCTTGGGAAGAATTTTAGTTCGGTAACAGTTTGAGTTGAATAAGTTCTTTGGATCAAAATGAACGAGAATCGAAGCTTATGGGAAGGGTGTCGAGAAACCCTCTTCCAACAGTGGATCAAGAAAATATCGGTGTTGATGGTGATAAAGGAAATTCTGTTTTCCTCTGAATCCATTCTCAGCATGCTAAACTGCAAAAGTAAGTTACAGAGCGCTGCTTCCCTCATCCTTCCAAACCCAAAGGTGTAATCTTAATTGCTAAAACTTGCAGAAGTGTGTATTGCAAATGCCGTGACCTCTCGCACAAATAGCGTTTTTGTATCGCCGCTTTACTTTAACCGAATAATTGCCGACGGCGTTCCCTTTAAATGCAGGATAATTGTGCATTTGTTGAACATATTTTGCTGTGCTGCTAGTCATGGAATCCAAAGATGTATTTGCAGCGTGATATTAGTATGAATACCAAAAATAATCTGTTACTTATCTGTTAGTTTCATTTCTTTTTTTCTGTTGCTCGATCTTGAGTTCACTGCGTAAATTTTGAGAAACAGCTCCTTAAATGAAGAAATGGAAAGATGATATTTTCGAAGACCACACTAGTATTTTATTGTACACAGTTCATATTTCACATCCTTGAAGGGAAAAATAGAAAATTAGACCTCGACAAGCTCATCCACTCTCTGATGGGAATGACGGAAAGAAGCTACGTCGACAGTGAAAAGCACGTTGTCAGTTTGAAAGCGCTACCCTAAATTTCAACCGGTTCATCGTCTTTAAAGTGTCTTCATCAGTTGTTTGAATAGGAGATTGCATATGCCAGGCATCGTGACTTTGCTGGTTCTTCAGAACTGCCGACGATTTCTATTGTTGTTTGATCGACCATCATTTTTATTGCATGTTTAATTTTATGAAACGGAACCTATCTCCTTAGTGGTTGATCGCACGTCACGATAGAAGGTAAGAATGATGGATTAAATTGATATACAATAAAAAAATTTTTGCTTTTAGTTTTTGTGCGAACTCAGTTGCTAGTCTTTCGACCTTGCGTTATATCAGAAAATGCTATGAACATTTGTACAAATCACGTATTGGCTTCTCGAATATCTAAAAACGTTAATGGTGGTACCTAGGCTCCAGGTTTATTTTAGTTTTTGTTTTGTTTTGAACTGTTTTTCTCTTTTTTCAGAATACGGCCATGTAACCGAAAATATTAAAACCTGTGCTACGCGCTTGAATTTGCCCTGCATTGGGTTTAAGATGTGGATTTACGTAAGTTTGTGTTGTTGTGACGAGTTGTGTAAAGAATTCACAATTTTTCAAGGAATTGTACGTAACAAGCGTGCACCTAAATTTGTGAGGTACGCTCTGATTCTTTTTTCACGTGACATAAGTTGTTTTGCGTTAAACTTCTATTTCGCTGCTTAGCAAAGTTCCCTGCAGAATACCGGCGAATTTCTAGAAGTAAGACTTGCGCAGTTATATGCATAGGCTTATTCAGTTTCAGTTTTAAACATTTGTTAGATACCTCGAAAGAAATAACAAGCTCTTCTGGTAATCGAAAACAAGAAATTGCATACACGAGGCACGCAAAATTTCACTTAAATTAAGCAAGACAAACCGCAGCACTTCACGGTAGGAGTCTTCATTCACCACAGCTTGCTTCAGTGGTCTACAGTCCTTTCGCTAATAAAATCACTTAATTCTTGACCTACTTGCACAGTGGTGTCAAAAATTGGCAAAATGTGGTTATAAGTCATACTTCCATTGCAGCTACCCCAGCGCTGCGCAAAAGACCAGTGTGCACTAAGTGTTACACCTGCCATTTTATTTGTAAAAGGACTATTGAAATCTCAATTTATTATCAATCATTAATCAAAGCGATCTTCGTGGGTGTTTTCATCTGACTTGTTCACTGTAAGACTCATAGATAAAATGTCGAAGGTGATTTATTACTTTTAAAAAAGCTGTTTGATCTTTGCTAAACAAAACAGACTTTCTCGTGTTTTTCAGCGGGCGCTCGTCAGGGGCACTGGAGGAATGATTAAGCGTAATAGTGTAATTTCCGAAGACGTTAAGCTATAATTTGACAAACGCGGTATGTCTAAACTCAGGCTTTTGTAAATGCATGTACTACGTTGTGCAAGTTAAAACTTATCTTCAAGAGAAAGTTTCTCGGAACATTCACAGTATTAAATTATAGTGTATGCAAATCTTTGTTGTCCTTAGAACGTTTTATATGTTGTTTTCACTGTTTAAAATATAATTTTGAAAGGTACCTCCACGTTTGAATCCGAAACAAAATACGCAAGTGTTAAAAAAGAGAAAAACAATTTTGTCACCGTTTTCGGTAAGGTGCCTTAGTAGGCTCCTCGCTCTCATATCGCGTGGAAGAAGTTAGTGGAAACTATATTTCAGTATGCGGATCTACTCTCCGATGTACCGCCCTTGCGGTAGCATTATGGACGTTAGTTACTCTGCCGTTAAACTTTTGAAGGGTACATTGGAAAATATCATGCTGCATGGTCTAACCTTCATTACAATTCATGCTTCAACGTGGAAGGAGATGTCCACAGTTCTCCTCTCTTGTTTCAGTCCGATTTAATGTCGATTTTTTGTGAACCAAATTTATGCCAGGCCTTCGATGGTTAGATTGAATATAAGGTTTTTGATATTGGCGATTATAGCATACCACTCTGCTCACCGCTTTCCTCGGTATTCTGGCGTGGCATCATCGCTCATTCGAACGGCGGGGTAAGTAACGTAATTTCAGGTATGATTTCCTACGGGTGATGGAGCACACGATAAATTGGATACTCGCGGGGGATTTTTATCAATCGCCTGGAAAATGGGAAATGCTTCCTCGCTCCTCCAGACGTGAAACGCTTCAATATACGCTAGAATCGGAAGCGATTCGGTTTAGTTTACTTCAGAGTTTGCGAGATTTTGAGACCGTTTGCTTTCGTTTGAGGATCGTGAATAGATCACCTGCACTCGTTTCACTGCGCCCTTGCCGGTTCCGAGCACGGTTGAGAAATTCCCCCGTTGACGGTCCCAGGCCCTTTTCCGGAAGGAGGAGGGTTAAAGACCTTGGCGAAGTAGCCGTAAAATCTAGCCACCTGCCAATCATAGCATTGATACCTTCCAAAATTATATCGGCTTGCTCGTCGCCCGGGTTACAAATGGCCGCGCAGGCTGTTGGGGGATTGAGCTAGACCGCGAAAACAGCGATCAAAGTTTGCACATGCTCTCTACCTGCCGGGGGCGTAGCAGCACAAGAACGGCTGATGAAGACCGACGGAACGACATCGAAAATACCAGTCAGCAGTGGAATCACTACCCATTCTGAACGGACGAGGCAGACAGCGCGATGCCATTATAGCAAGTCAGAAAAGAGTCCCCGAGAACGACACCACCAGTGGAAGCTTAAAGTCGGAAATTGAGTCATATCCTCACTCAGAGGGAAAACAATAAGAGTTAGTTGATGAGGCCATAAAGTACCAACTCATAATTGTTGGACTCTCGTCAACGAAACGCCAAGGCTCTGGGCTCCTGAACCTCAATGGACGAAAGCTATTCCACTCAGGCACCGATATCACGACTCGCGTTTACGCCGATGTTGGTGTTCTGGTAGAACCCACCCGTGCGGATAGGATCATTGACTGGAAGCCTGTCAGCGTAAGGGTGGTAATCCTCCGACTGAAGCTGCATCAGGCAAAAGCGTTGACCTTGGTACAGCCTATGCGCCCAATTTGGAGTTAGAATATGAGACCTTCCTTGAGGAAGTGCAGTGTGGTCTGTCCGAAGTGCCGAATACAGTGTCCCTCATACTCATGGGCGATTTTAATGCGTATGTCGGAGTAGACGCTGAAAAGTGGAACGGCGTGAATGGAAAAAAGCTCTTAGCGACCTGAACGATAACGGCATGTTGCGGTTATGTGGAAACAACGGATTGTCCACTATGAACACATTTTTCGAGCATCGAGTAGTGTATCGGTACACCTAGTACCGGGAAGCTCGATTTGATATTCGTATCATCTGACTTAAGACGCCCAGTAACGGATGTTCGTGTTAAGAGAGGCGCAGAGCTATCAACGGATCACCGCCTTGTTGCTGGTTATGCTGTACTGAAGGAAATGGAGCACCATACGAAGATCTGTTTTCAGAAGCAACCATAAAATGAAATAGGAAACATTATCTTCGATAGACACGAGAACGAAGTTTGCAGACAACATCGCACGACTGTTTGAACAGATCCCGGTGATGTCCACTGATGTGGAAACCGAATGGCAGCTGTTTAAGAGCGGCATAGGCTGCCACAGAATGCTGCGGATTTGAACGGGTCGACCAGCCGCCTGGTAGACTCGAGAGGTACAGCTGACAGTTAAAGAGAGGAAGGCAGCGTTAAAGAAACGGCTTGGAAACAAAGAAATTTCTAGTCGCTTGCGGTATGTACAGGCACGCAAGGCGGCAGCCAAGCAGTGGAAAAGGCCAAAGCTGATTCCTGGGAGAAGTTCGGTGAAGTGTAGGAGTCGAATTTCCACACGGCAAACAAAGTATTCTGGCAGACCATCCGCCGGCACCGCGGTGAAAAGAAGGGCAGTCTCAGAGTCTTGAAGGACAGATCTGGACACCTTCTTACCAAAGATGATGACATTCTTCGGCGATGGAGGGAATACTTTGAGGAACTCCTTAACCCCGCGCAATAGGAGGAAGACTCGCCTGTC